ATCAAATGTAAAAATGTATCAATATTTTTTTATATTTTTTTAAAAAATATTAAACAAAATTAATAATTGTTTAGTTTCCTTTTTTAGACAGGTTGGGTCAGGTCAAATGTATATTTAATTCAGGTCAATTTTATGTCTGACTCGACCTGACCTTATCAGGTCGGGTCAAGTTAATTACCCGACCTGATCAGACCAGTTTGGAGCTCTAGTTATGATATCGGTTAATTAATTAGTAAAATAAAAAAATTAGCTATTTTCCACAAAAAATACTATCTAAGTGCTTTTTATTGACTAAGTAAGTTGTTTGCATTTGAAAAAATGCACATAATTATACATTTAAATTAGAATTTAAGAATCATATAAACTTGTATCTCAGGGTTAAGGTTAAAAAAATAGGAAAAGTTGTTTTAATATAAAGTTTTTATGCAAGTGTCATAATATGGAGAAAAATACCTAAATGTGTAGGCAGTAACAATAAGAACAGAAGTTCCTTTTTTAAGGTTCGTTGGCAAGTTACTTTGAATAAAATCACATTGCATTAGACGCTTAATTTTCCATTATTAACGTTACACAAAATTTTAATTAGTGATCGACATGTGATAACTGTTTTTCCGGTATTCGTCATTATTACGAATGATCGACAAAATTTAAAATAAAACAAAATAAAAAACGAATTATTATTTTTTTCAAAACCACTACTTATCGTTATGACTGACGAAAGACCCGTTATCCTTTGGGCTCATGCGAGATCACTTTCCACGGTTTTTGAACGTCCATTTCTTCAACTTGAACAAGAATTTCATGTTATTCACGAACCTTTTGTTCCAATTGGTCTTGCTTACAAGTCGAATAACGAGGAGTTGTTAAATAGAATTCAACCACCTAAAACTACTGATCCGATAACTTTTAAACATCATTTCACACCCAGCCTCAATGAAATGCTTACACCTCACTATTATAACGATGATCAGACAAAACCGTTAAGGGTATTTGTAAAAGATCTTGCGACCATATTTTTATCAGCATCAGAAGGAAACCCGCTCCGTTCCAAAGAAGTTCTCTTAAAATTCAAACATACATTTTTAATCCGTAATCCCGTAAAATCTGTGAAATCATATTACAAAGCCGCAATTTCTACATATAAAGTTTGGGATGATGCTAACGTACCTAGTTCAGAAAGAATTGTGCTTTTCTCCGCAAAAGATATTGGCCTTAAAGAATCAAGAGCTCTTTATGACTTGATTAAAGGCATTACCGAAGAAGAAATTCCCCTGGTTGATGCTGACGATTTAATTCGAGACCCTGAAAAAGTTATGAGAAGATATTGTAAGATGATCGGAGCGGAATTTAAGAGAGAAATGCTCGAATGGAAAGCCGAAAAGGTGGAACATTGGGATGTAAAAATTCCAAATGTATATCATGTTCCCGATTTATATAATATATGGCATAAGTAAGACTTCAATTTTTTTTTATTATTTAATTTAACTTTTAATATTTATGTACAGTATTCCGTTATGACCAAAATTATAGAAATTCGGCAAAAAGCACCGGATTCAATAAATTTGTCAATAAAGAAGAGGAGGAAATCGAATATCCCCAGTACGTCTATGATATCATAGATGATAACAAACCTCATTACGAATATTTGCATCAATATAAAATTAATGTTTAAAGCTGTTATTTTAATCAAAATTTATGTTCAAAAAATTTAGGATAATTCATTTATTATTATTATAATGTAATTTTGAAATTTTAAAAATGTTGTTAACAAAAGTATTTAATCTTTTATAAATAAAAGTTTTCTCGCTCATAATTTCTTTATAATTTTTATGTTATATGTCTGTCTTATATTTTTATATTTCTAAATTTTCATGATTTATGATACTTTAATTTTGAATGAAAATATAACTCATTCAATTAGGGAATTATACCTTTAATGGCTTATAAACCTCTAAATATTCTAATCCATAACGTAGTGGTGGCAAGGTAATATGAGGTGAGTGCTGGGAAAATGGACCAAATTGATTTTTTTTTTTAAAAAAAGTTCCTAAGTAAAATAGATTTGGTTATCTGATTCAGATCATTTGTTATTTCAAAAAAAAAATTTTTTTGTTGATTTGGTCCTTTTTCCCAGCACTCACCCCATATTTTCTATTGCAATATTAGATATTAATATATATTGTTTCTTTTTTTATTGGAAATTCGCTACCTAGTTTATTATTAGTAAAAGTCCTTAATCTTTCTAACTCATATTTTTATTTTTGATAGAATAGTTTTATAAATACGGTAAAATTTTGGAAGATCGTACCGTACCATATATACATATATAGGATCAGTACTGACTTAAAATATCAAATCGTACCGTACTGGAATCCTTCTATAACAGATAACTTCAATTATAATGTAATGAAAAAAAAATTTTTTCAAAAAAAAAAAAAACTTGGAAATATAATCAAGTAGGCAATTTGGGTGGTATGCTATTAAAATTGAGGTACGAGACATAGTAAATCATATGATCCGTACCCCGGTTCTATAAGGGACTAGTACAGTATGATAATATATTTTGGAAAAAGTATCGTACTGATAGGAATCAATATCAACAAAACTATAGGTTACATACAAAAGTCTATCCTAATGCTATGTTACACTTCTTAAATAAAAATAAAAAATAATTTAAAATTGTCGCGGTCAATATGGCGCAATATATTTGCAGCTAACACCGGTGTCTATGATGCTATATTTATGCCACTTATAATATTAATTATAATCAACAATTGAATAATTCTTAGATAGATACTGCTTTCGATTACATACTTTATCATTTCGACAAATTAATTAAAGTACAAAGTTTTAAAGTGTTACCTCCTATTTTCGTAAAAGTTCGGACGAATTTTGATCACGGCAATTAATAAAAATGAAAAAGGATTTACAAAAGATGAAAAAGAAATAAGTTTATTAATAAAATAAAACAAAATACAAATATCGCCTAAGCCGGAGCAAAGCAAAGCATTTTATAATAAATTTTCTTTTCAATGGTTTTGTTACGGAATTCCTTAAAAATATCATTATAATTGTGGCTGAATGACGAATAGACAATTAAATTGATCCCTGATGTCAAAAATGACCAATTTGACATATATTTTCCATCAGTCCGTTGGGTTCGAATGATCAGAAAGGAGGAAGTATAGATTGATTGTGCCACAATCAAAGATCGAGAGTAACAAAAGCAATATCTCCAAATTGTATGTATTTTCAGTTAATGTATATTGACTTATGTAGACTCCATTTTTTATTAATCTTTTAAATGTTTGTTACTTCCATAAGGGATGAAATTTTTTTTCTTTTTTTATTTATTATGTGGCTCGTGACTGATAAAGTGTGAACATTAGTAAATTAGACGCAGTAATTTTAAATTTAACCCATGAAAAATAATGTATGAATATAAGAAATCAAGAAGCTACGAAATGTAATTTCAACTATCTGTGAAATAAAAAAAGTGCGGCGCAGGTAAGACTCGTTAACACACGGTCTCTTATACGCCTTTGATAGGTTCGAAATTAAAAATAGCAACGTAATGCGCTTTAATCTTGTCGTACACGAGAAATCAAACACGCACGAGGCCTGTGAAAGGAAGATGATTACTTTCAAAATGATAGTGAGTGGAAATTCCACTTACTTCCTAAAAGAATAAATAACTAGGTAAAATAATTGAAATGCTTCAAATATGGTGTTCAATTTATGTAATAACCATCATTGAATATCATATATATATATAGTATTGTAAATTATTCTTCTTTATTAATGTCAATTAAAACAACAGTGAAAATAAAGAAATTGGAATAGAAATATTTGTTTTATTTATTTTTTTTTTTTTTAATGAAACTTGGTTTTGAGATTATAGTTTTTATTTCACGGGAATTTCCATGAATATCATGATTTCACGGCTGCGCCATGAAATTCATTGATTTCCGTGAAATAAAATAAATATTACTTAAATCACGTTCAATTGTATGATATTTGCTTATAATCACATTCAAAAAATTATCGAGTCAATAACAATTATTACTAAATTCATTTATGTTAGATTAAAATGTAAAGACTTGTGAAACATGTATTTTTTGAAACAGCAGATTTGAAAAATGATTTACAAACATCATGGTTTCGTGATTTTTTTTGTTTTTGTTTTAACATTCATCTGCATTCATTTCTCCTCTCAAATTCAAAAGAACAAAAAAGTAAACGTTGTATTCAAAAGAAATTTTCGCTATTTACGTTCACTTTTTTTTTTAAGAAAAAAAAACTATATACCGAGAGGGACAAAAGTATTGCACAGTTTTGATTTAGATATTTTAGTTAATTTATCATATGTAACTGAGCCATATTTTTTTTATTAACATACTTAATAAAATAAAAATATTTAAATAATTGTTAAAATTAAAACATTACAAGGTGTAAAATCAAAAATTTAAAAACACACATTATTTTCAATTTTTCGCATGTGCTAAGCCTCGTTATAGGATTTGATATTTGACTTTTTAGATGTTTCTCTTGCAAAAGAAACCAAATAACGATTTTATAATGACATCTTTAATATTTATGATTTTTGAGTTACTTAACCCAATTTTTTGCGGTAATAATGTCTTTTTTTCTGAAAGAAAAGTCCTTTAATTATACTGTCACTTGTGCTAAATCGAAATTTGTGAGTATTTCAAACTATAATAAAAATATGTAATCGATACGATAATATGTTACTAAAAAATATGGCTCATTTACATATGATAAATTAACTAAAATATCTAAATCAAAATTAAAATTGTGCAATACTTTTGTCCCCCCTCAGTATATATTACTTTATTAGAGAAGTAATCAGAGACGCATGGATAGATTTTTTTTTAAAAAATCAATTCTGTCAGCAATTATTTAACATCTTTACTTTTTTGTTGAAAAGCGCGGTTTAAGAACGAACAGGGCTATTTTATAAAAAAAAAAATATTTTTTTACTATCTTTCACTACTATAAATAATAATAATTAAGAAAAGAAAAAAAGAATACTATAATTTCATCTTCATTGCATTCTTTCATATGTATAAATTCCATATTAAATATCATATTCCATTGTTTTTGTTTTATAAGATTCATCTTTCAATAATTTAATTTTTTTACTGCCTTTATCTATAAATCATACAGATACATTCAATTGATTAATAATTAATAAATATTGATTTTTTGTGATTTTTGATTATTGAAATTTTATTATACCGTCATTACCTTCAAATTTATCGCTTCCAAACTTTCGTTTACCTTTTTATAAAAAAATAGGAAAAAAAGGTTATTAATAAATTTAGCATTTTTATTTAACTGATTTAACTGGTTGTAAAACAATTTTAATTTTTTAATTACCGAAATCCGAAGAAATTGATTGATTGATTTCGTAAACTTCTTGTGGATACTGCGGAGTTTATCATGCTATTTAAAGATCTACTCTTATAAATAGCGTCTGGATTGTTTGTTGTTATAGGTCCAATTTCTGATGATTCTACAATATCTGTTGGATTTCTCAGTTCAGATTCATACATGTCTAAAATTCTACCAATGATGCCACTAGCTAGCTTTTTACTTTGATCAGGGTCCCAACATTCTTTCATTAGCTCAATATAACCTTCAGGTGCGTTGATATTACCAATTGGAGGACGTAAGCCATCACAAATATCAAGAATCAGCTCAGTATCATGAGCACGATCCCAAAAAGGTCTTCTACCTGTCATACACTCCCACATAATCATACCAAAACTATAAATATCTGATGCTGTGGTATATTTTTGTCCTTGAAAAATCTCTGGGGCCATATAAGGAATAATTCCATAAGTTTCATTATCGTCAGCTTCAATAGCAGATTTACTTAATCCTAAATCACCTATTCTAATACAATTTATAAATGATGGATCATCTAACAAAATATTTCCACTATGAAAATCACGGTGGACAATACTCTTCTTATGAATATTTGATAGGCCATATGCAATATTATATAAATGACGTAACTTTGTATACCAACTAACATTAAAAAAATCTTTAGCTATATAATGGAATAGATCTCCTGCATTACAATATTCCATAATTATCACAAATTCTTTAGTATTAGGATCTTGCGTAATTCCATAATAGTCGATAGTTCTATAACCATATCTCAATTGATAAGATATTTTAAGCTAAAAAAAAAAGTTTATTAATTTAGTATATATAATAATAAATAAAAAAGGAAATATAAATATACTATACCTCGTTTAAATCCTTAGAAGTAAAGTTTTTAGAATTGGTAAGTTTCTTAAGAGCAACTAGTTTATTAGGTTTCCGATTATATTTTTTTTCTTCGTCATTCCACCAAATAAACGGACCATCAATCCAAGTAGCTTTATAAACTTTACTAAATCCTCCCTCACCAATAAATTCTATACTTTTGAATTGATCATATAAAACAAACTCCATTTTACCATTATCCAATAGATTAAAAGTGCTATGAGTATACTTGATAAAATCGTCAATAATATTATTTCCACTTGGATTAAAAATTGTACTTGATTTATAACAAGTACGGCAAAGCTTATGATTTTCTTCAGATGGTTTATTACATCCAATGCATTTATTATGTAAAGGTTTAAGTTTAAACTCGGTTTGCACTTGCTGACCTTGTGTGTTATTTGAAATTAAGTCGATTTTATGTTTATAATTTATTAGTTGATATTGATTCATGATTATCTTTGCAAATTCGTCTCAGGCATTCAAAACCACATATATATATATATACTTTTTATTCTTAATATTCTAAAAGGAAATTTCCGAATTCAAAAAAAAAAAGAATTCCATCAATTTTTTTCGAAACTTCCAAAAGAATGTGAAATTTATTTCAGGCAATGATCTGTTCTAGATCTACACCCAAACTAAATATTCAATTTATTAGTCCGGAGCGTAGCGACTATATATGTTTTACAAGTAGTGACACAAGCAATAAAACAATAAAAAAAAAAATTAAATTACATAACATATAGTAAATCAAGTGAGCCTCATCAAAACTGATACTCTAATTAACAAAAAATTATTTTTTGTTATATGAATTTTATGATTTTACCTTAAAAAAAAAACATTTGACCTTACCTATTATTTTTACAATATGTTTTCTTCTATTCATCATTAATGTTATGATAAAACGTGTGAAAATTTTTATCATTTTAAATAAGACTTGTATGAAGCGTTAGCAATATTTATTGAATAAAGAAAACTTTTCGAGTAGAATGTAATACATATCTGAAAGTTTAAGATCCATAGAAAGACAACAAAAGTTATGGAGAAGTATTAGAAAATATCTTTTAATCAACTCTATTTATACTTAGAGATGGAATATTTAAAATTGCTAAAAAGAAATTATGACTTTTAAGAATATTGCAAAGGGCTTTAGAATTATATCGTTAAAAAATAAATAATCAAATAAAAACTTAAAAAGGAATATACAAACAGCTAAGTTTTTTTTATAAAATAAAAATGATTTTCTCCTTTATAATCAGTAGACCATTATAGTATACCTATTAAGATGAATTTTGTATTCAGTTCAGTGTTTGTAATGATTTCTCAATTATAAGAATAAAATTAATAATACATACCCTTTTGATTATTAAGGTATTGACAGAATGTTATTACTAATACTTTAAGGCTTAAGGATTTTGAATCTGATGTAGAAGTTATGGACATGATATAATCGTATTATGTATTATATTTAAAAGGTTATTTGTAAAAAAATTATGAAATAACAAAAAATTAAATAAATAGTAAAGTATAAAGTCGAAATATCTACTGTACATATATCTGACAGTGAAAATTTATATACCAGTTAAATAATATTGATCATAAACTTGAAATAGTCAAAAATCCGTAATATATCAATTATAACTGTCAAAATTAATTTTTTTTGCATTAGTAAAACTTTTTGAAAATAATAACAATAGTAAATACTCATTATGATTATTGACATTCTATTTACTAGTCGAAATAATTTTTTTTTAATTGTTAATGATGCAGTCTAGCCGCAGTACTTTACTTGTATTGTAAATTGAAGGAAAAAAAACCAAGCAAAAAAAATACTAAAATACATAACTTAATTCCTGTGGTTCTATTTTAAACTCATTTGAATCAACTGATCACTATCACCCCTGAAAGAGATGAAAATAAAATGTCAAAGAGCATCTAATTCCTAAATATCCTTCAGTCTCTAACTTCTCTTAAAAGAGATTCTAACACTAAAAACAACATTTGAAGTAGGGAATTAGTACAAATAGAAATTTACAAACAACTAAAAATAACTCCATAAGTCCTAGCTTAAGTCTAATCAATTCTAGCTTAAAGTAACCACTTAGCAGAAGAAGATGCGTCCAAATAACTAAGTTAAACAGAGGCACTTCATACTACAAATTCATAAGTATAGAAAAATATCACATGGAATCCATTACGAAAGTTAATTAATATCTACAGAAGGTCAGTAAAAAAGGATCTAATGATGAAATCTCTTCTGAATTTATTATCAACTGAACTAATCTAGCCATTTAAGGTAAGGAATAATTAGTGGTTTAGGCACAAATCAAACTAAGGGATTAGGATCATTCTGAAAGCAAGCTTTACCATACTATATAGATATCATGCTGAATTTGCATGTGATTTTCAATGAAAGAGAATCTACAGAAAAGCAAAGGCCAATTAAAAGAGAGTATATTTGTTTAGGAAGGTAAAAGGGAATCATTATATGAGATTTGTTTATCCAAAGTATTTTGATCATGATCGTCAGCTTGATGCTCACATTTTATAGGCAAAAAAAAGAAAAAGTGAAAAAGTGGAAAAAATTTTTCAAAAAAAGATAAAAAAAAATATTTTAACAAAAAATAACACTGTTTAGAAAATTTTACTTATGGATAAGAGTATAAGAAAAGAAGAAAGAAATATTTTTGAAAATAAAGGTTTTTTATTTTATTCATAGGTTAAACTGTGGCTATCATTAAATAGACACATTTTAAAGTAAAAATTCTTGAAAAAAATCTAACGAGAAGAAAGTGTTTTTATTCACTAGTCGAAATAATCAATTTCATCACTTTTTAAAGTGATGAAAATTGGCTGAAATATAGTCTAATTTCTGCTGATTATTACTAAAAAAAATCAGCATTTTTAGTTATAGCCAATGTTGCCTATTTTTATGCAATACAAAAAACCATTCAAAATTAATGATTGGTAGTTATTTGATATTGTTACGCTAGTTCTTTAAAATACTTGACTTAAATAAGCATTATGATTATGTATGCAGAAGGTTTCCTTTGTAAAGAAGATAAAGAACTTATTTATAATTTTATAAGTGCAAAGAAAATATGATAATACGTGTAGAATAAATGATTAACAAACAAAATTATAGTATTGTTTCTGTCGGTATATCTGTACTAAACAAATTATTTATTAAAGGATTTAAAACTACTAAAACTAATATAAGATAAACTAAAACTGATCTCTCAATACTTAGTCCTAGATTACTCCTATTTATATAAAAACTATCCTATATAACGTTATAATAATTTAAATAAAGAAAATAAAGAAAAATAAGAT